TGGTTTTCTACCTTTCCATCATGGTATTATTGCATAAAAATATTATTAGCACAAATTAATATAATTTAAATTTATTTGTTTTTGTTTTTAATCATCAAAATTCCAAGATTAGGAATTTGACCCCTGTGAGCCAACAAAATATTATTAGCACAAATAATATAATTTAAATTTATTTGTTTTGTTTTAATCATCAAAATTCCAAGATTAGAATTTGACCCTTGAGCCAACATGCCTATGAGAATGCTGAATTTATATTGTTAAACATCTTGTTTAAAGGTTAATAATTTTTGTGAAAATCCATATTCTTTTTGTCATAACTTGAATAATTATTGGTGTTGAAAATTTTATTAACTTATGTTTAGATTAAGGAATGTGTTTTGTTGAGAATTGAATTTTTGCTAGAATATAATTAGCATAGGAAACATTTGATTTATTCTCATATTAATAATTTTTGATATTTTTGAAATTGTAAATATTTATCTCCAACCACATTAAGCTAACTTTGTTAGTTTGTTTAGCTTGTGTTTTTCTTTTATTAGCTTTGTTGCTTAAGGACAAGTAATGGTTTAAGTTCGGAGAATTTTGATAGACGTTATTTTTATATTATTTTTAATATAGTTTTTATTAGAAATTTTAGTATTTTTAATTACTTTAATTAGTTTTTAATTGAGTTTTATTTATATTTTTGTTTAAAGCTTCCTTGAATCACCTTTCACTTGATCTTGGGGAATTTTGCAGCATTTCCATAGAAAATCAGTCAAAAATATAGAAAAGAGTGTTCCTAGGTTCAGAAGCTAGCACGCCTTGGGCGTGTTATCTAGCACCCTTGTATTGTGTTGAATTCAACAGAGGTTCAGAAGCTGGCACGCCCGAGCCATGATAGAGAGCACGCCCGTGCTACAAGAGGCTGTCGATCTTTGAGTATGCTCACTCCAACACAGCCCGTGCTATAACTACCTTGAAGCCTTCAGGCCCTAGCACGACCAAGCCGTGCCAAAGAGCACACCCATGCCACAAGCAACTGTCGATCCATGAGCATGCTCACTCTAGCACAACCCATACTGCAACCACCTCAGGGACTCAGAGCCTAGCACATCCAGACCGTGTAGGACAGCACACCCGTGCTGAAAACCATTTTACTTTGGGCTGAGAACGTCAGTTCTAGCCCGTGCCGCTTGCATGAACCCACATGAGATGCTTTTTTGACGTGCCAATTAAGTTTAAATCCTATTTAGACGCTGGAAGAGTCCTAATTAGGAAGAAATATAAAGCCTAAACAGTTTTCTACCTCAAAAAGATTTATTACTCTATCGGAGATCCACTTTCCTAAAGGAACACGAAGATATTTTCTGAAAGTCTATCTAAAGAGAGAGAGACTAGCTAGGATTGAGAGTGCTGAAGATTAGTGTCAAGATTCCAGGAAGTTGTTCAAGCTTATCGTCAACTAGTTTTTATTCTAAACTCTCTTTTTTTGTTTATTATTTATTCTTTATAGGATTATTTACAAATTTAACTGAGTTTATTTAATTACTATGTCGAACTAAACATACTAGGGATTTGATGTAGCTTAATTTCTAAAATACTCAGGGGATTTGATGTAGCTTAATTTCGATTTCCAATTTATTAATATTAGCAATTTATAATATTAGATTTGTTTTTCTTTGTTCAAAGTATAATTTATTATTAAACTTAATGCTTCCAGGTAGAGTTTTTTCCCTGAATTGATTTATTTCATTAATCACTATCGGGAGAAGGGTTTCTTATATGAAAAAGGTAATAATTTACATGAATAATAACTTGATGCAGAAGCTATATGGTTTGACTCGTGAGGGTGTTCATAACTTAATGACCTTAGGTTATGAATTCATAAACAAACCATAAAACTTAATGATTTAATTCATGTTTGCTTGCACTATTGGAAGATAGGTAATTAGATTGGGTAATTAGATGGGTTAAAATAGCTAGCAATACATCGGGAGAGCTTTGTTAGTGATGTTAGGGTTGTTTTTCCCTACTTGAACAATTAAAAATTGATTAGTCAAAACTAATAAAATAAATTAGAATTAAGAATTAAGTGAAATCAAAAATCTCTAGTAGCTTCAAAATCCTTTGATTTCCTTTTCATCGAAATTATCTTGTTTGATTTCTTTTCTTCTTTACTTATTTAAATTTTTAAAATAATTCTTCCTTACTTGTCTGTAGAAAAAATAGTAATGTTTACAAACACACAATTTTTGGTACTTGGTATACAATCCTTGTGTGAACGATACTCTAACTTCATTCCTTTATTACTTTAGGGTTGTTTTCCCTACTTGAACAATTAAAATTGATTATCAAACTAATAAAATAAATTGAATAGAATTAAGTGAAATCAAAATCTCTAGTAGCTTCAAATCCTTGATTCCTTTTCATCGAATTATCTTGTTTGATTTCTTTTCTTTTACTTATTTAAATTTTTAAAATAATTCTTCTTATTGTTGTAGAAAAAAATAGTAAGTTAACACAATTTTGGTACTTGGTATACAATCCTTGTGGAACGATACTCTACTCATTCTTTATTACTTGTCGCGATTTTGTGCACTTGCGAAAAAGCCTAGCATTTACCTTGATACCCATTATTTCAATTTTTATCTAGTCCTAAAAATCATGGTATTTAATTAACCAAGAATCATCAAAGAATGACAACCATCTTTTTAAATCATAACTAGGTCATACCAAGTCATACTCCTTTCAATTTTCATAGTTGGCTTTTTTATTTATATTAACATATCAACCTAACCATATTCATTTTTACCTATCTAATTCATACACATAAAACATATGCATTAATTAATCATTATTTGAGCAACTTATCTCCACATGCTCTTTGCCACACATAAATTCATTTACCACCAAAAACACTGCATCCAATCCAGGCAGAAAGATGTGGATAATATTCTTTTCCTTGAGTTGTTAATGAATGCATAACATTAATTAAATATGGAGAGCATGTCAAATTAGCGTATTAGGCTAAGCTACTTAATCCAAATACAATTCTACAATTCTCAGACTATTTAGGGCTAGCTAAGAAACTATCATTTCTAAAATTTTAAGTAATCACACAAATCTTGTTGGATTGAAAGGTGAACACCTGCCTTCAGATTTCACTCATACAAGATTAGAAAATTTTGCTTTGATCTGAATTAGTCCGAACATGTTTATCAACTGTTATTTCTAAAAATTTATGTAATCACACAAATCTTGTTGGATTGGAAGGTGACCACTTGCCTTCAAATTTCCCTCATACAAGATAAAAAAATTTGGGCTTTGATCTGAATTAGCCCAAGCGTGTTCACCAATTGTTTGTAGTTCAAAATCTGCAGGGATAGAGTATTTGATCCTAAACTTTTCTAAATCTTTGTCATCTAAAATTGACTTCAACTCGGATATTCTCTTTTTTTAGGAGAAGTGCCTTTGTGCTTCTCTTTATGGTTTTGGCAGGAGGACTCATATATATCTGAACATAAGAAAGACAAGGATGGATATTTCTGTTTCTAATAAGAATTCTAGAAGCCCTAACTCTTTCTAAAGAAACTACAATAATGGACCTACAAAGACTAAAAGAAAAACCTCCAATTCTAGTTCTTTACAGCTAGAAGAGATACAGCTAGAATCGACATCGACTAATCCTTTACTCTTCCTAAAATAAGCAAAACTCATTTTTGAAGGGAAATAAGAGAATGAAACAAAAAGGGAAAAAGAGAGAAAGATGTTATCTTAGAAACAAAGAAGATTATAGAAGAAAAAAATGCCAAAGAAATGAAGCAACTGCAGTTATACAAACAAATTGAGAAGGCAACTAAAGGGACATCAGTTTTGAAGTTAATGGTTTGGCACTTCAAAGGTCACATCCATTTAAAATTTCACATTAGACTAGATGATCCTGCTTAAAAGAAAGACTAAAACTTATCAACTTCTGCAAATTGCCTTTAGAATTAGGGCACAAATATGCACTTGAAGATGAGCTTCGACAGTTGGTCCTTTAATGAAAAACGAACATAAATATTTGATATATTCAAAAACTTTTGATAGATTAATTAAATGAACCAAAGGCATGTCTGTAATTTTATCAATGTAATTATACCAAATGTTACATAATCATTTCAAATATGTAAAGCTCGGTCAAAAATTTATATTTATTTTACATTTAATCATCTGAGATAATTGCGTGGTCATTAATGCCTTGTCCCTTGCTCGGAACAAGGCAACACATATGTTATTCCTTTATAAATCCATGTATGAAGTTCACTGGAATAGACAGAAAAATATATCATCGCAACTATCTATCTTATTTGATTATCTTTACTTTATCATTTTCACTTCTATGAGACATAATTTATAAATAGATAGATGGATATAGATTATAGTTACATATATATATAAATATGTCACTAAACAAATGGATTTCTAATACGGGCGTTCTAGCAAGTTTGTGCTATTTATGAGTACCCCTGCACATTTGACAAAGCTAAGGGCGTCCAAAATCCAGTTTTCGGAATTAGGACCGTTGATTCCAAACCGGTGGGAACTAGAACCGGAATCAGTCCGAAACGGTTTGGTTTCGGTTTCACCAGTTTTGAAACCGTGAACCGACGGTTCACAAAACCAGTTAAAACCGATGGTTCTAGTTCTGGTTAGAACCGTCCGGAACCGGTCGAAATCGCCTCGAACTGGTCGGAAGCTGGCCGGAACTATTGATTTTAGAACCGTTAAGAAACCAGAACCGGAACTGGAACCATTCGATTTCAAACCATAACCAGAACCATTAATTTTTGGTTCAATTTCGAATCTAAAAGATTTGAAACCGCATCCGACGATTTCGAAACCTTGGCCACGTCTGGACGGAACTAGGGGTCTACGGTGGCTCCCTCCCCTAGCAAAAATCTTTTTAAAGAATCAGCCGTAAAATATTGAACTTTTTTTTTTTTATTTTATCATTTAAAATAGTAAATTTTTTCAAAAAAATTACAGGCTTCCTCACTCCCCTTGAACAAACCGAAAACGTTTTTCTATCCGTTATCTCAAATTTTTTGTCATCGTAGAAATGGCAGCGGCAGAGGCTGTATTCCCTCTATTCCTGACCCATGCTTCTTCCTCTAAATTCTTCTCATCATCCAAACCATCAACGGCACTGCTGTCCATAAATTTCCATAATCCGTGTTTTACTCCTCTCGTTTGTCGAAATTTCCCACTATTTCCTCTCACCAACAGCCACCTAACAACTAGAAAGCTTTCCTTTAAAAGATGCTCCACTACACAAGAACTAACAGCGGAGACCGAACTACAGCAAACCCAGGAGGAAACAGTCCAAAAGAGAAAACTATATGTAGTTAATTTGCCCTGGTCTCTTTCAGTTGCTGATATCAAAATCCTCTTTGGCCAATGTGGGACTGTGACAGATGTTGAGGTTCTTTCAATCGACAATTTCTTTCTTTAGTCATTGTATTTAATGTGCTGATGATGTGGGTTTCGGTTCTTTTGTTGTTTAATCCAGGTTATAAAGCAAAAAAATGGGAGAAGCAGGGGATTTGCATTTGTGACTATGGCTTCTGGGGAGGAAGCTCAGGCTGTTGTTGATAAATTTGACTCTCATGTAAGCATTTTTTTTTTCCATCTTTTCCCTTTTTATTCTATTACTTTTATGTTTGATATAATATTGGAAGTAGAAAATTGTTATTTTATCGAGAAAAAGGTGGCTTTTGTTTGATTTATCTAGTATATTGGAATTTTCTGTAATTCATTTTTGGCATATAACTTGTCAAGGTCAAGTCAAGTAATGTTAAAGTTTTGCTTCAGTTCTTTTTGCTAGTTTGTAAAAGAGAAAGGAAAAAGAAGGAAAGAAAGAAAACGAAAGAAAAGCAAACCTCTCTTTGTACATTCTCTTCATTCGTTTTGTTAAGCTTTATTTACCTGAATTCTAAACACTTGACGGTCATTCTTTGGCTTTCACAGTGTGTATGTGATACTTAAATAGTGTTTCTTCTTCTTCTTTTTTTTTTTTTTCTTTTCTTTCTGTTAGTTGTATTATTAACTATTGTTTTTCTTGATTACGATTAAGAGGATGTAAAATATTGGGTGAAGTTGCAAATTGAAGTTTCCTTCTAGATTTTGTTTTATACACCTAGTTTGGTATAGTTCATTTGAAGTTTAGTTATAAATGATAGAATTTGATTTTGTGAGATTCAGTTCTACAAAATTGATTTCATAGAAGTAAACTGAACAATTTCTTTCATAATAAACATATTCACATGAATTCCCAATGAGTTCCATAAGAATTTTAGAGAACGAATTCATACAAAACAAGGCGTTAGGGAAGCAAGATTATCATTTTTCCCTCTCTCATTTGGTTTAGCTACATCTGAAGTTGAATTCAAGACCAACTCATATCTCGTTTGGTTTAAAGAAAAATAAGAGAAAATAGCAGGGATTAGAAACTGATAGAAAGAGGGAGGAGAGTGCCAAAACCACATATTCTTTATAAAATCAAATTATTCTTTTGTTTGACAATCTCATATCACTTGGCAGGTGAAAATCCTTACTTACGTCAGATAACAGTTGACACTTATAACAGACTTTAACAGACGCTAACAGCCTTAAACAGCTTTTCCCATCTAAATCTTTTCAATTTGAATCCAAGACCAACTTTTATCTAGTTTGTTGGATGAAAAATGAAATAAAATTGCATGGTAGGTAGAAACTGATAGAAAAAGACAGAGGAGAGTGCCAAAACTAATTATTATCCATCATCAAATTATTATTCATTGACAATCTCAATATTACTTGGAAGGTAAACGTCCTTGATTACATCATATAACTGTTGAGACTTATAACAGACAGTAACAGACACTAATAACCTTAAACAACTTTTCCCGCCTAAATCTTTTGATACATGGGCTTCCAAATGCGCTTGATTCTTTTATGTTTCATCCTCACTTCGCAAAATGATAGTCCTAAGATTGCTATGAGTTCGATTGCCATTTTCCCATATTGTATTGAATGGATGCTACTGCCAATGTGTTTTCATTTTATGATTTTCTGCTGCAGGAAATATCAGGGAGAATTATTAGGGTGGAATATGCAAAGAGGTTCAAGAAACCTTCTCCTCCACCCCCACCAGGTGCCCCTCCCAAGGAGACACGACACAAGCTTTACGTGAGTAACATTGGTTGGAAAGTTAGAGCAAATAACCTAAGAGAATTCTTCTCAGCTAATAATTTCACCCCAGTTTCAAGTAGAGTCGTCTTTGATAGCCCTACAGGGCGATCTTCTGGCTATGGGTTTGTATCATTCGTGACAAGGGAGGAAGCTGAGGCTGCCATTTCTGCTTTAGATGGAAAGGTAAAAAAGAAAACATAGTCAAACATGCATTTCACTTGACGAGTGCTATTCATTTTGTATGGGCTTGAGAAGTTGGTTAATTGCTTTTGTTGACTGAATAAATTATAATATGTTACGGTCCCTTCATATGGGTCTGGTTATGAGTCTATGGGATAAGTGTTCAGGGTGAGTTTTTGGGTTGGGTGAGATCTTTCTTCCTTCCACCTATGTTGACAAACTTTAGAGAGAATCTGCAATCTCTTGGAGCTCGTTAAGAAGGAACTCTAGAATCTCTGAGTTTGGCCTTTGTTTAAAATTCTGCTTACATTTTTCCTTGATATCACAGCATTTTAAACAAATAAATGCAAAGCTAAATACTACCCACCACCCATAAATAACTACCAATTACAATAGATAACTTGCTTAACAACCGCATTAATACCTACTAACAAAGAAACTGATAGTAACATGATAAAAACTGAATAACTAAATAAAACTGCCTTAAATATAGCAGTAAAAACTACCCTAAGTACAGCAGCTCCATAACATTATACTCCTCGAGAAGGCATTTTTCCTTGAGTGCAAATGATGGATGATATGCAATCTTCAACTTGAAAAATGCGAAGCAAACAAAATCTTATCACCCTCTATTATTGCTGCATGTAAGAAGCTGTTTATTGTGCTTATATATTTAATTAAAAATCCTAATCAATGACTTTTCTAATGTTTCCTCTATGTCAGTCTCGAGTTGCTTTTAATCCCTTCCTATCTGGAGGCTGCCAAATACAAGCAAGACCCTCTAGTTGTGCTAATAATAATTGTTGTTTGATTATTTCTTTCTTTTGTTCTACTTTGTCTTCTAGAATCATAAATATTAAGACTTGAAATGGTTGTTGGAAAACTATTGGCTTTGCAACAATTCTAGGCTGTTCAACTTTACCAACTTTCGTAAATTATTAGTCCTTATAGGTGGCTTCAGAAAATCCAGTTTTCTGAATTTTGAAACAATGGTACTGCCCCTAGGAAATGCTGAACCGGCTGAACCTGCTAGAAATTTTTCTTTCGGTGGTTGACTATGGCTGCTCCCTTCCATTGTTGATGTTTGTTTTGAATTAGTTTTTCATGTCGGACTTTGTTGACATCTTGTTCATCTAGGAATAATGTCAGAATTGCTGTTGAATAGAATCGCCCATAAATTTTGGCTCTGATACCAAAAATTATGGTCATTTGATGTGGATTTGGTTATGGATCTATGGATAAGGGTTTAGGGTGAGTTTTTAAGGGTTGGGTGAGATCTTTTCTTCCTTTCACCTATGTTGACAAACTTAGAGAGAATCTGCATTTTCTTAGAGTTAAAAAAGAAGAATCTTTGAATCTTAGGAACTCAAAACCTTTGTTTAAAATTCTGCTTACATTTTTTCCTAATATCACAGCATTTTAAACAACTAAACAAAGCTAAAACTACCCGCTACTCACTACAATAACTATCCACTGATAACTACCTATTACTATAAATAACTTGCTTAACCACCCATCCCTTCCATTGTTGATGTTTGTTTTGAATTAGTTTTTCATGTCGGACTTTGTTGACATCTTGTTCATCTAGGAATAATGTCAGAATTGCTGTTGAATAGAATCGCCCATAAATTTTGGCTCTGATACCAAAAATTATGGTCATTTGATGTGGATTTGGTTATGGATCTATGGATAAGGGTTTAGGGTGAGTTTTTAAGGGTTGGGTGAGATCTTTTCTTCCTTTCACCTATGTTGACAAACTTAGAGAGAATCTGCATTTTCTTAGAGTTAAAAAAGAAGAATCTTTGAATCTTAGGAACTCAAAACCTTTGTTTAAAATTCTGCTTACATTTTTTCCTAATATCACAGCATTTTAAACAACTAAACAAAGCTAAAACTACCCGCTACTCACTACAATAACTATCCACTGATAACTACCTATTACTATAAATAACTTGCTTAACCACCCACCTATTAACAAAGAAACTCATAATGACATGGTAAAAACTGAATAACTAAGTAAAACTACCTTAATACAGCAGTAAAATTACCCTAAGTACAATAGCTGCATAATATAATATTTCCCATAGTTGATATCGTAGTTTAGGATTAGAATAAAGGTTGATTTGACCCTTGAACTTGTTTAGCGGGATTAAAAAGATTGGAGGAAAACGATATATGAAGTATATTGTATCACTGTATAATTTTTAAAAATAATTGTTAAATATGGAATAGAGGAAAACGATATATGAAGTATAGTGTATCACTTTTTACCTTGACTAATGATTTTGAGTTCATAAATATGTATTAATTTGAATATTTCAAAATGGACCTTTATTACTGAGTCATTGCATATGAAACTTATACATTTCTCATGTTGAACAGATTAAAGTTATACTCCATGTGCTTGATCTGCATATTTTTGGCGCAAAACAAGAAAATCTTGTTAAATTGAATCAATTCATTAATTTATAAAAATTTTAAAACATGTTCAAGAGGCTAAATTGGCAAGTCGAATCTGACATTTTTAATCATTTTAAACAAGTTCAAGGTCTAAATTGGCTTAAAAGGCCAAATATGACATTTTTTATCCCGCTAAACAAGTTTAAGGTCCAACTTGGCCTTTATTTCTTTAGGATTTCATTAACTTGAGCTTTGTGGTTAAACATTTCAGTTTATATCTTATTTTAGCCTTGATACGGTCATTGTCGAGCAATGAAGTTGGGCATCAGCAATCTGTTTTTGTGCTGTCAATTTTAGCAAAAGTTAGGACTAAGCTATAATTTTGTTGTGGCCTCCATAGGTGATTTCCAATCAGTTCACATACCACTGCCTCATCTATGTTCTGATTTCTGGAAGTTTTTTTTTTCTTGTTATTTCTTTCATCAAGTCTTTGTTTCTTTTTTCTTGTTTAAGTGAGAAGGCAGGCATAAAAGCGAACCCCTTTTTTGTATAAATGAATTTGAATTACAAAGTTCATTTTATGAAGGCATCTTCATAGTGATTATGTTCCAACATTTACACGGATCATGTATTCTCTAGTTTTAGTCTTCTCATCTTAGGTGCATTTTTCTAGCTAAGCATATTTTCATACATCTTGCAGGAATTAATGGGTCGACCACTTCGCTTAAAATTTAGTGAAAATAAGCCTGATGAATCTGGAAGCGAGAAGCAAGATGAAGAAAATTTGGAGGCCCAACCAGAAGAATAACAAATCTACTGATTTACTGGCAGAATTACAGTATATATAGCAGCAGCAGAAATTTTAATCTCATCAAGACATGCAAGGTGTTCTCTTTTGTCTGCTTAATTTTTCCTTCTCTTCTTCAATAAGTTACAAATTTGCCTAGTTGTTTGTATAAAATACCTATATACATTATTGTGTTAAACGTGGACATCTGTGTAGAACCTTTTTCTTTTTGTAAATTGTAATTATTTTAAATGAAGCTGTTTCCACCATCATAGTGTATAATTTTGCATATATTGAGAAAATGATGAAATTTGATGATAGTGGGAGAAGTTTAAGAGAATAGTCTCAAATTCTTGTTTATTTTGAGTTTCAAAGACTTTTCTTTGTCCTTCTAACTTGATGAACAAGTATATATATTTTAACTTGGATTCAGTCTTGTTTATTTTAAATTGATGAACAAGTATATAGGGTTATAAAAGTTTTAATAAAATATATATTTTAACTTGGATTTAATTTTTACTATCATAAGATTTACACTTCATATGAGATGAAGTTTTAAATTGTTTTTCCTAATGCAGTTGGATGAAAAAAAAAAAAATCTTCATATTACAAAATAAAATTTTATAATCTCTAAGTAGGATATATGGTGAATTAAATATTATACATATAGCATACTACTAAGAAGTGGTACTTGCAATTTCTTGAGATTTTACAAGTCTTTCGTTATCTAACATTAAGATCAAATCAAGCATGATGTCAATAGTAGTGGAAGAAATGTTTAATTTTCTACAGTTTGAAATTAAAAATAAATTAATTACTTTTAAAATTCTTTTGACATGTAATTAATATTTTGGAGAAATATTTATTGTTTTGCATGCGGTTCTTGAAATTAAATCTTATAAGTTTTTGAAATATTTTTCTTTATAAGAATATTTTGATAGACAATGTTATGTTTTGATTTCTTGTCACGATAAAGATTTTGAATTAAGTATGCTTATAATCAACATTATATTGAGTATAAATTATATATGTTACAAATTATAATACGTTATAAGTATTTATGTAACCCTTTTATAGTACTTCTATTACAAAAGGTAATAATTTGGAATTGCATAATAGTTATTATGAAATGATATGTTTTTTGAAACATGTTAAAGTCTCTATTACTACTTAATGGATATGGAATGAAAAATAATTTTGGATATATGTTCATAATAACAATAGAAGTCATTTCACAAAAGAGTTATTGAATGGAATTTACTTATATTATTTTACCATGTATTTTATATTTTAAGAGAATTATAGTTTTTTTTTTTTTCATAAATGGATTTTATAAGCGCATTTAAGTTAATGAAATCTTGAAATACATTATGATAGAAATCTATTTTAGTTCTTGAATACATTTACAATAGATATCTCAATTTTCATAAATGAATAAGAATATGAAACAAATATTAAAGTATATTTATAGATTCCGTAAACCAAGATGTTAACTATTCAAAGTTAATATATTTGAATTTTAGTATTCTTGGTTAGTGGGAGTTTTGGTTGTAACTAATATTACTTTGACTCCTTTTTTATATGCTTGAACCCATTTTGTTGATAATTTTTTTTGGACTATGAAATACTGTTTTGATGATCATTATTTTGTTTTTAGAATATGCATGATACACGTTGATTGATTTTATAAATAACTAATAAACATAATATGAACTAAATAAAATCTTAAGTTGTTCTTAAGTGTAAATGGTTTGTTACTATAAAGACTTCTGATTGAAGCATTATAGTTTGCAAGTTACTAACATTCTGCAGATTGAATTGAAGGTTGAACTTGTATTTAATCATGACTGTTATTATTGAAGGAGCTTCTTAGTAAAGCATTAGTGAGCAAATCAAGTCTTAAGTTTTACTTAAACATGACTGTTTGTCATTAAAAGGTTATAATGTTAAGACATGATTTTATATATAACAACTTTCAATTAAAATTTACCTCTATTTAAATAATATTCATATTATAAAGCGTATAACATTAATATTCATATTTTTCTTAAACTAATTTTAATATGATAGGACAACATTGAAAGTCAAGTATATTTAATAAAATAATTAAAGACGACAAAAAGTTTATTAATTATAAGATTAGACTTCAATTTTTTTAAAAATGATAAGGTTAGACTTTAATTAGCACTGATTTCTTTTAAAAAATTAAATAATATGATCTTATGTTATTAGATGTTGATTTGAGTTCATGAAAATCAAATAAAAGAAACAAAACTTTAAAACAAATAATAAAAAAAAGAATTCAAATATACATCAATTTCTACATGAATAAATTTTGATCGGTCAAAAAAAGATCGTTTTGATTTTGGATTTGATACCGGTTTAGATTAATAGTATTGAGATCCGCAAAGTCCGATTGATTTAAAGCTTTGAGAACACATTATATTCATTTTTTGATTTTTTTTTCTAAGAGTATTTTGCTTTGATTAATTTATGTTGAGATACAGAGATATATAAATACTCAAAATCCTACAGTAAATGCAGTTGTTTTGTTTATAGAAGAAAATCATCCAACCTATTCTGTAGAAATTGAAAATAATCTAATATTATGTGATATGGTGATAACAATTATTTATGCAAAAAGAAAAAAAAAATTAAAGTGTTGTCTTTATAAACATAAAAATTGAAAAAGATAAATATATATGAATAAATAAAATTCAAAATTTTAAAAGTGATATATATATAGTGATATGGTGATAACAACTTATTTATGCAAAAAAGAATAAAGAAAAAATTAAAGTGTTGTCTATTATAAAACATATATAATTGAAAGATAAATATATATGGAATAAAATAAATCAAAAATTTTAAAAAGTGCATATATAATATATATATATAGTATTATATAGTATATATATGTATATTGCAATTTTAAGTTTATTTTAAATTAAGAGTAATTTTTTAAACAATTAATGATTAAAATTAAATATATTTTTTAAACAATTAATATTGTAAATAATCAACGATCCAAAATTCAATTAGAATAATATATTAGAATAATAATATTATAATATTATAATAATATTTTTTAATCAATTAATAAAAAATATTACAAAACTGTAATTTATCATTTATTAAAAACTAAAGTTATTTAATAAACTCAAACTATTATTAGTTAACCAATGATTAACTGATAATAGTTTGAGTTTAGGATTTCTAAACTATCATCAATTAACCAATATCCTAATAAGGATATTTTAGGATTTCTGAACTTTCAATAAGGTTATTATCGGTAATCGTATTATTTCCTCCTATTCTCACATTTATACATAACAATAGTGTTTTTTATAACGTGCGTTGCACGTTGACTATGCTTGTTATATACTCATTTTTATATTTCTTTAATTCTTTTATCTATATAATATTAAAGCATAAGTTTTTTTTAGCTTAAAATAAATACAAGTAGTTAATTTATATTACACTTTGCCATACAAACTACTTGTAAGATGACTTTTTATGTATTTAATTTAGTCTCAAATTAAATTAGTAATGGTAATCATTTTGGATACAATAGCAATATTACTTACCCAATATATTACAGAAAGGAATATATGCATATACACACAAATTCTTGAAACCTCAAAAAGTGAATTAGTAATAGTAATCATTTTGGATACAGTAGCAGTATTACTTATCCAGTGTATTATAGAAAGGAATATATGCATATACACATAAATTCTTGAAACCTAAAAAAGTGACTCAAAACAAAAATATATAGTTCTATTTTTTTTTCCAGTTTTCTAAACATTGTTTTTTTTTCAAGTCAAATAGATTTAGGATATAAGAGAAAAAAGTATCGAGAAAATTAAAAATGTTTAATCATTAAGAGGTCATTTATTTATTACGAGGGACATATAAATCTTTTACTAAATTAAAATGATAATAATTAAAAATTAATCATTAACGAAAAAGAAAATAAAAAATAAAAAATTATTATTAAGAATGAAACATTTTTTCAGAACTCACCTAACAAAGAAAAAGTTTCAATATATATGGAAATATAAACATGTAAATAAAATATTATATGTATTTTTAAAATTAAAATTTTAAATTGTTCGCCAATCACATGCACACATATATTCATTTTATTTAAATAAAATTTGAAAAGTAAAAATTTTAAAATTTTAAAAGGTTTAATTATGTGTATTCTATTTGAATATTTATTTTTTAAAAAATATACCCAACCAACTCATACATACATAAAGAAAAAATATTAATAAAAAAATAATATATTTCTTTTCTTTTTTTTTTATCTCACTTAGATATATTCTATTTGAAATTTTATTTTTTTAATAATATATTTCTTTTCTTTTTTTTTTATCTCACTTAGATATATTCTATTTGAAATTTTATTTTTTTAAAAAATGTATCCAATCAAATCATATAAATATAAAGAAAAAAGAATATTAATGGAAAATATTTTTCTTTTTTTATTTCTCTCCGAAATAAAATATTTTAAATTATAATTAAAATAGAATCAAATATTTAAAATAAAAAAAATAAAAGTTTCAAATATTTTTGAAATGCTTGATTATCTGTATATGTTAATTTAAGAAAAATAATTGTTATAAATATGTCTAATCAGCTTATAAAAGGTAATATTGGCTCAAGAGTAAATTTTATCTTGAGATTTTGATAATTATACAAAATAAATAAATTTAATATTCTCGTATGTGCTAATATTATTTTATGTAGATTTTTTAAATATGGAAATTATTGAAGAAATGAAGTTTCCAAGACTTTTATTCTGAAGACCATAAAGTATATGCATGAGAAGATATTTTCATATTGGTTATATTATTAACATAGTCTGAAAATTATTGTAGGATAGAGAGTTAAATAATTTTATTAAGCACAAATCTATTTTATTCCTCTCAAAAATTGTTTGAAATGTTTTTGAATAAATTTATTAAGAGGATTTATACCAAAATCATGTTACCTACTTCAATATAGCCAAAATCTTTACTCTTCACGTTTTCCCATCTAAAATATCTTTGGAGTAAATATTCTTGGTGGCTATTAAATGAAATTCTGCAAAAAGTTATTTCTAATCTAAAAAGCAGTTTCTGATTTATCACAGCTGTTTGTTTCTAATACAGCTGGCTGTTTCTGCTGTAAAAGTTACTCTGTTTTCTAAACTAAAACCTTTTACCTCCAAACCTTGTGTGTGTGAGTATTAAAAGTGGTCTGACAGCCCTGTACATGCCATAAAAAGGGTA